TCGCTAAGCCCAAGGCGGCCTCCGACCATCACGTCTCCCACCAGTCCTCTTCTGTTTGTAAACAGCAGGTCAAGCGGGGCACCTCCCCGGTAGGCTCACGGTTTAGGTTGTTATTATTTAATTAATTTTTAAAGGACATTTCCCTTTGATACAAACCGTACATGTTTCTCAGGAGTATATTTTGGGGATTATACTCTTGTCATCTTGTCTTTTCCCTCCATCTTATGTGTTTATTCTCTTCATTTGTTTGACCTATTCTTTTTGTTTTTTAACTCCTATGGATGCTTTCATCTTGTTTGGCATCTATATATGTGATTCATTATCGTTCCTAATGAAAAATGAAGTCCTTCTCTTACGATTACAGTTCAATCATGTGATGTCCCCTTACGCTGTTCTTTAATGCAGTTAGCTTACTGTATTGGGCTATTGCAAATTAGAATGACTTGTTCATTTTTATTTCATTGTTAAAATTGTGAAATAAACTGTAGTTTTATTAAATGTCATTAAAGGGCAGGGGCATTTCCTGGGTCTCTTCAATTGCTGTACTGTAAATGCTGCAATTTAGAGAATTGAATTCAGTTGACAGTGTACTGTGTATATGTATACTGTTTTTATTTATGATTATATGTACATATACATACCTGATATATTGTTAATGGTAGAATTTGATTTTTTTTTAGGTAGGATTATTTCACTGGAATTTAAATTGAGGGAAGATGTGTATAGTTGCCTAGAAAAGTTTTGTTTCCCCAACTGAGTTTGCCAGCTTTACAAAAGAAGAGTATCAACAATCCTAGTCAGTTCTTGACATACAACCAATGGCTAATGACATTTGTGCCAGCTTAAAGCATCAATTATTTTATGCTTTGGGTACACAAAATCAAACTGATAGTTTTTAAAGGGCACTTTACTCTGTCTTTTTGTAGCATCTTCAAATGTTTGCCTTGAGATCAAAGGGAATATATTTTTTGCAATTTCTGACCTTTTAATAGTCCTCTAATTTGCATTAAAAACTTCACGTCACTGACAACTCACATTTGCTGTCACTGACCTAGTAAAACTTAGCACAATATTTCTGGGGAAGAAAGTAAGGTGATTATACCTTTGTCAATTACCAGAAAAGTCATTATAAACTCTGTTCTCAAAATGAAATGGAAGAAAAATTGTCTGCTAAAATACTACCTAGTGGAACTAAACATATAAAGCTAAATGTAAATGTTAAATTCAGAACTGCTCCTCTGACCTATGTTCATGATGCTGAAGTAAATTGTGGAGGGACTGAAAACCTGTACTAATATTGCCTCCTGAATGGCTTATATTTGCTGGGCTAGTGCAGAGACTTTAATTTTAAGGAATGCCTTTCTTGTGAAGACTTCTTTAAAATGGTATGTTTATTTCTACCATAAGTCTTTCAAAAATTGGAACAATCATAACTACCTTCTTACCTGTGAATCTGTTGGGTTTTTTAATAAAAATAGTGATTTTCTATTTCATAATATTTATCATATTGTTTGTAGTCTGTGATAGTTTCTAGAGCTAGCTGGTCCTGGTCTGTCTGCTCAGTATGTGCTGGATCTGGTTCTGTCCGTCACTGATCCCTGCTAGAAACAGCTGTAGGAGTGGTTCTCATCTCTCTGAATGTTGGCAAAGCATTTGACCCTGGGACACATGGAAAACTATTTCCTTATTTAGGTGGTGTGGAGATAGAATCTAAAAAAACCAGAAGTGGTTATACAGAGGATGCGATGGAAGCAGTGGTACTGGGAGGGAAGTTGGTAGGTGGTTTTGTGTGGGTGTTTTTTCTGTGTTTTTTGGGGTTTTTTTTTGGGGGGGGGGTGGTGTTGGAGCTCATTTTTGGGCTTGATCATGTTTAACAATTTATTTAGATGTGTGAACTGGTGAAGTTTGCTGATATTAAAGCTGGAAGACCATAGTTTGTCTAGCAGAGCATCTCCCAGAGGATAGGATGACTCTAAGGATAAGAATAATAGAAGCGTGATTGATGGTAAATAGATAGCAGTGCAAAAGCATTGGGACTAATAAGAACTTAATACACCATGGAGGGGGATGGCGTGAGACTTCACTGTCATGAGATAGTATACCTGCCTGAAAGACACATGAAATCTTGGAAGGATCAGGTAGATGTTTTGTGCAGTGAGTGGAAAATAGGGGTGCTGTTGTATGTGGTGCTGGTGAAATTGCATATATGTTGGGAACATGGCGTGTAAGTCATCAAGGTCAAGGAAGACGGCCTTGGGAGAGAATGTGTTAAATGCCGAGGTATGGCAAGCCTGGTCATAAGAAAGGAGGTGCTTGGGGGTTTAGCCTCGTATAGCCACAGTAAGGAGAGTGACTATGACTGCTGTCAGTAAGTATATCAATGAACAAATGCTGGAGAAAGAAAATAATTATTTTAGCTAAATGTCAATAATGATGCAAAATACACCAGTATGAACTGACTATTAGTAAGTTCAGACCAAATATTTGAACACAATTTATATAATGGATGAGAGCCTGAGTGTAATCTATACAATGATTTATGATGGTATTTGGGAACTGCACTTGGTAACACAGGAGGTCACTTTCAGTTCTTTTCCCTCAGGTAGGAGAAGCATTGTCAGAATTTTAAACAGAGGTAAAATTCCTGAAATTTTGCTTAAATTGCAGAACTAATCAAGTAAGTTTTCTTGTGTTGTAGAGGGCTTACTGACAACTGTACTAAATTTTTAGTATGCTTGCCTCTTATAATATTGTGAGTGCAACTTTAATAGTTGGCTGTGTCTTCTTCGTAAACATAATAATTAGCATGCAATGCAGTGAAAATTCAGAGGAGTCGTCCATCTGTTTGTAGCACTTTTCTTTCAGAAGGATTAAGTCTAGAATTATTCAGATAATTTCTGTAAATAGAAACAGAAGTCTGTCTGCAGTGTATTTCTCTTAAATCCTGCTATTTTTAATCCATTAAGAACCTCTCCAAACGTTAGGACTGTACCACCCGAATAATGGGAATAAGCTTTGTGTGGAAAACAACCATTAGAAAGCTTGTATTTGGAAGGGAAAAGAAAGAATGTAGAGATGGAACTGGGCCATGGTCTACAGCTGTTTTGTCCAAGGGTGGTGATCCTGTTGCATAGTTGAAGACTGGCTTTTATCAGAGCTCTTAGCTCTTACTTTCGACTTAGTAACAGGTTGGTGCTTTGCAAGCATTTGCTTAAGCACCAAAGAACATGTAATATAAATGCTTCATGGCTTTTGCATCACTTGAGGCTTTAGCAATTACACGAGTCATGCAGAACTGCATCCAAGTTGAAGTCCAAGACCAGAGTTAGAGAGGCGTTTTCATGAAGGATGGTTATTGTTTACTAGCGCCATGTAGAATTTAATATAGTTGCAAACAACATTTTTAAAGGTTACATAAAAAGGGAGTTGCATGCTGGAGAATCGTCTGTCTTATCTGAGCAGGCAAAATATTCCCCTGTTTTAAAAAGAAAGAAGAGGGGAGAAACATGACGATAAACAGTATTTTTTCATTTGCATTAAAGCTTTCATATTTCACAAGAGTATTTGATTAATATAGATAAACACATAAATGTATAGAGGGTGATACAGGAATAGTAAAAGTATCACATATCCCAATGCCATATCTGGAAAACTGTAACTCTAAAGATAAATTAGACTTCTGTGGAACACACAGATGATGCATGCAATAATAAGATAATATTTTTTCATCTGAATTCCTGATCATTGGATAATTTAGTTATGGTGTCAAAGTAATATATTAATATGGAAAATTGCAGAATAATTTAGCTTGTGTACATCAAGTGTTTGATGGAAACTCTAGTAATTTATTCAGCTAAACTATTCCTGAGTTTTATTCTCTAAAACCTTACTGATCTATAATTTAGCTTGTTTGGCTTTATAATGTGAAGAGAACCTGCAGCTAAATGCAGAAAGGATTTACAAGTTAACAAAGTTTAAGTGAAAAATTATTTAAGCTGGTAAATTGGAGTTTAGTTTCTTTAGTCATCAGGATTGTGAATGGATCTACACAGGTTTTCACTGTCTAATGCAAATTAAAGATTGTGAATTATTTCTTTTAACAAGGCATGCAGTGCATGTTGTTGTTAAACTATAAAGCTATGAACGTAGGTAACACTGGTGGCATTGCTGTACTTTGTTTATGCCAAGAATCAGAAAGCGACATGTTATTAAACAGCATATGATCTGAATGAAAATGGTAGTGTGTATAGGATTGTTGGGCTACACCTTGTAGAAACTAAGAAGAAGAAAGGGCTAGGTACAGACAGACAATAAAAATACCTTCCCCCCCTCTCCCCCCCAAGAATTTTATCCTCTTTTTTTCTCAGAAATGTCAGGAATTATGGAAGATTTCACAAATTGAAAAACTGGGGAGATGGCCAGGAAAGGAGGCGTTTCTCCACAGTCAGAAGTGCTGTTTCCATGTTTGTGCCTTCTCCACACAGATCTCTTGGGAAGTAACTCACCAAAAGCAGAAAATGCTGCATAATGAATCATTATATAAGATAAATTTTTTTTCCTTACCACAAATTTGAGTTTAGAGTAAGCTTTTTCTTACTCCATCAGAAAACAGGATAAAAGCACTTCATTGTATCAAAAAAGCAGTAAACATGAATGAGAAGTGTTTTCTCATGTTGATTTATGCATAGTAGCTAAAGAACTCGTGTAAGAATTTTTTAAAGTAACAAATTAGCAGGAATCGAAAGAAACACAGAATTTGTATTGCTAACACTAATTTCTAAGGTATATTTACTTATAATACACATTAAGACACTAGGAAATCTGGTTTTAAATCAAACTTGAAACATCTTGTCCTTTGTGCCGTTGTTAAAGAAAAATTATAGTGGCTCAGATTAAACCCTTGGTGAAGTAGGTGAAGCAGGGTTTATTCAACAGTACCGTATTTTGGAATATAAAACAGGACAAGCAGATAGCAATCCTTCCCCAGAAAACTGGCCATGCTTTCTGTGTATGTAGTTCTTGAAGTTACGGTGGAACCTTCTTTCCTTTGCTCACCAATTCTCCAGTTAATTTCTTGCATCTGTGTGAACTATTGATGTCTGCGGTGTCCCGCAGTTTAACAAGGGGTTGCTTTTTGGTATTGAACTCCTGTTGAATAATTTTCTTGTCTACTCCCTCGTAAAAGAAACAGCAAGTGAGCACTGCTTGTTTGGGAATTCTCCCACTTGGGTTTTGTATGCATTCATCATGGTCCTGCCCTGCACTTAGGTCTCGTTTTCTCTTTTTTGAAAGGGTTAACTCTGGAAACACAAGCCGTGTAGCCCTCTTATGGCACACAAATACATGAACTGGGTTGGCCTGGTCTAGGCATATCTTTATTGTTGTAATTCAGTAGTACAAGCTTCAGCTTCCTGGATTTGTCCAAAACCTCTGCGATTTAAGTCACCTATCTTTTGGCATTCTGGGATGGAGAATAGATAAATTTCTGACTTCAGTGAGTCAAGACCTGGGTTTTTTACCCATCTTGATTATGGAGTTACCGGCTGAGGCTGCTTCATCCATATTTCTTGCTCTCTCTGTGTTGCCTTTTTAATGCCATTAATCATCTGGGTTTGGAAATCAACCTTTTCAGGTGCCTTTGAATTCAGTATGGATTGTTTTTTTTTCTGTAGGTATAAAACATTTGTTTCTAGTGATTTGAAGGGAATGCAAAATGTACCGAATACGTAACTGGAGGAAAACCAATTAAGAATTAAGAACTTCCCTTGTGTACAGTTTACATTTATGTATTTTATAGAGAGTTTGATGTTAGTGCCGGGCCACTGAGTATCTTCAGACATTTTTGTGAACTCAGGATATAATAGCATATTTTCAATGAAATGAAATGCACCCAAAGTACCTGTTAGCATAAGAATGTGCTCTAGTATAGTCTGGTTAAATATTAATGCAAAGACTTTTGCCATTGCATGTTTTTACCCATAATTTTTTTTAATTTGGTATTAGGCATTTTTGCATAATTTAAATATAGACATCTGGACAATTTACTTAGCCAGCATAATGTTACGTTTTACTAAAAGTGTCTGCACCGTGTATTCTTAGGACTATGTGCCAGCAGCTAACTGTTCAATATTTAAATAAGAGTTGAGTTTTTGCATTGGAAAGAGTAACAAAATTTAAACTCCTCCAAGAGGTTCTGCTCATTAAAAGGGCACTGTACTAATTACGTGTACTCTTTAATATGTGCTGGCCCAGTAGCAGCATATATTTCACTCTACTGGTAGATTGGTTGAGGAATGATAGAAATGTCTTTTGGGCTTTTTTTTTTTTTTAAATTTAATTCAATACGCTGTTGGTTAAGAAAGTAAACTTGTGTGATTCCATCTTTGTGTGTGTATTTAGAGAAATACATTTAAAGAAATGCTGTGTATCTTAGAGGTGTTCTTTATCACAGGCAGTTGTATATGATGAAGATTAACTCTATGGCTCAAATTAAGTATTTGACACGAAGATTTTCTTCCTAAACTACCAGAACATATTTTAGCTGTGAGCTTGGAGATGCTTCCATATCGATTAATACAGCAAACTTAAGATATCAGTGCAGAAGGGATGAGATTTCACAATGGCTCTTATATCTCTCAGGGAAGTGTTAATGAATTTACTATATCAGGATATTTCTGACTGATTCAGAGCTGAATTCAGAGACCATCATTTAAATACAGAGTATAACCTCCTTATTTTGACTTTGACTTTGTTTTCTTATGTACGGACTCAGAATTATTTTCTGAGTTTTTATGCTTCAGATAAGCCCATTTGATCTAGCGGCTCCCGAAGAAGAAAACCTTTTTTTTTTTTTTAATCTCCTCACACAGTAGCCATTTATATTAACTAGAGTGCTCCTTTGTGGATAATACTTGGCTTGCTTTATTTTCCACAGTTTATGAACGCATCTTACTGAGGGAGTATGTGTACACTTCTCTGTTCAAGGATAATTCAGGCTAAGATGCATGCAGTGCAGTACATCCAGCTTTCGTGAACTGTACCTTGAGGTTTTCATAAATTTTCTGAATTAGTGTCTTTTTTAATAGGGACAATGACCTTTCCTGCTCTTGTCATTTGACTTATGGATTCACTGCTTTTTAAAATTATGTTGCACAAATGAAAGTGAATCAAATTATGGATTCAACCTAATAATTTCTCTGCCTTATAGCTTGCAGACCTTCAATTTATTTCAAAAGAGGTTTGTCCTCCTGTAGAAACATCCTTCCTATGCCATTGAGGCTGAGAGAGAGGCAATTTGGCTACTTCTTTCTGGCCTTTTTCTTCTCTTTCTCTCACTGTGGGAGAACACAGTAAGAAAGATGTAGTGCTGATGGGGTTTCTGTGATTTCCGTTTGGGGAAAAAAGGGCACAATTTGGTGTTTGGAGGCTTTCTTGCAGAAGTTTTTGAATCTGGCATTAAGTTTTAAGCCAAATGGTTGAAGTTTAGCAGTTACTCCAGATACCTGAATAAGATTCAGGATTTTTAGTGAATTGTGTCTGAAGAGCAAAGCTAATTTACAACAAGTATTAAAGGAAGAAAAAAAAAAAAAAAAGATTTGTAGTTGGTCTCCGCTGCTTTGTTATAATGCTTTCATCAACAGGATGCATTCTGTGTGTGAATAGTACTACTTTTGAAAAACAAGGGTTTAGAAACTCAATTAATTTATGTTCTTCAATTTTAGATCTGAATAAATAAGCAACACATCTATTTTAAATCACAATTATACATGCTTTATTTCTGAATATAGTAAAAATGTGATAAATATGAAAAGACTGGAAAATGAAGAATTGTTTTCTTCTTCTTTCTTAATTTTTTGTGAGGTATTTTTCCCACCCACTGATAATTTCTTTGTCTCCTGCAATGTCTGTTTTTTCCTCAGTCGCGATGTTGGCAAATGCTTTGTTATGCTGGGGAAAAAAGTTCAGCTCTTCATATTTTATCGGTTCCATTGGGCTAAAGGTGCCGGCAGTTGTGTCAGTGGCCCTCAGTCCTTAGTGTTTTAAGTCTTCAACCTCGTCATATGGAAACATTATAAATTATATTTAACAGTAGCTGCTACTCAATAAATATTTAATGTGATAGGTGTTTTTGACTGAAATTACTTTTTCACTCAAACAATGATTTAAGCTGTGTTTTTTTATTTTATGAGGTGACACTTTTATAATATCGAGGAATAGCTGGGTGCAGTTCTAATGTCAGAGAGCTGCAGGGCAACATGAATCACAGCTGCTTTCTTTCCTTCTTTCTGAACAGTGGATAACTTTCTAATTCATCCATGACCAGAGCAGGATTTCCTGGTTTAGTTTTGGGGTATCTTGGTATGTTGTGTCATCATCTTGTCTTGCTCAGGTGTATCCTTACTTAGAATTTTTTAAACAGTATGAATATTGACGAAGTTTTGTGCTGTGCAGGGAAATGAGATATTGTAGCTGTTTTCTTCTTTCAGATTTGTCAGGTTGCTGTACGTGGGGAAAATACATACAATGTTCTAGTTGTTTTTTCTTAGAAATAGTGTATTGTCTTGGTTGCTTCTAGAGAAGGCACACTGGTGACTTGGAAAAGGAATAGTCATGCTGCTGTCAGAGAACTTATTTTCTAGCACCAGGAGAAAAGTGTGCACTTACAGTACACAGAATACACTTGCTGATGCTGCCTCTCCTTCCTGGGTTGTCAGTCTTCCTTGGCTTGCAAGGGCTTAGCTGTTTTAGGTAGAAAAATGCATTCATTTTGAAAGGTGATGTCTGTACACATTCACAGTTTCTGTTGCTGTTATCTTTCAGGACTAGAAGCCAATAGGATTTTGTTTCAAACTTGAAGAATAAACTTTCTACATACTAAAACTTATTTCAAAGCTATAATTAGTTTCTTTCTTACTGCATAGACTGTCTGATCAGTACTAAGTCACATGATATTTTATCCAAGCTTTGAAGTCTCATACTTGTAGTCCTGCTGAGTGATGCTTCATCTTACAGGTGGCTGTACAATGTTTCCCAAAAGAGTTTTGACAAACTGAAATTATGTGCTGCAAATATTTCTTACATTTATTTAGTATTGTCAATGCTTACCTTACACTGGATGATGTTTTAACTGCTTAGGCTTGCTGAGTTTTCAAGTGCCTGGGGGTTTTATTGTGCAAGGTTCAGTTATTTGAAGGATTGCCAAAGAGTTTTCAGTTTTCTATTTCTTAGCCGTACAGAATTCTGAGGAGTTTTAAATTCTTACAATTTAAATTTTTTAAATTATGCAAGGTGGTATGTAGTTTGCTTTTAGACAACACGGCTTTGTTATGCTCTTGATTGATCTTCCTTATCTGGTATAATTCAGCTGTTTGTCCGGTTTTGTTCAAATAACACCTTCACAGATTTCCTCAACAGTAAGCTTGGAAGGCTTAATGGAAATGTAAAAGTCACATTTAAAATATGTGGGTTTTGTTTTTAAAAAACTATGGATAATTTTTTTTTTACTATTACAGGGAATACGTTACATTAAACGTAATGGCAAGAGAAGAAAGAGCAGGATTTCTTGCATATCCTAATAAATAGACTTTTGCCCTTTACAGGAACAAACCTTGGCTCTGAGGAAAGAAGGGATAGGTGTTGTGTTAGATTCTGAACTGCCTCATCTCATTGGTATCGATGATGATCTTCTCAGCACTGGTATCATCTTGTACCACTTGAAGGTAAATACACATCTGTGTTTCCATAGCCTTTATACGCCTTGTGATTTTTTTTTTTCTTCAGTAGACAAATCGTAGTATTAATTTGCTATCTAAACATAGTGCTCATTACATGTCTCCACTGTAGTGAGAAAAGCTCATTACATTTCTCTGCTAGAGTAAGAAAAGCTCTTAAGAGGTTGCAACTGATTCAATTAAAATATTGTTAAGTTACTGCTTAGGTTTATCCTGAAGGTCAACTGGTTAACCAGAGATAGGTGTTTAATATTGCTACCTGTGTATATCGGTTTGTCATTCATCTCATTGTAAAGCTTGACTTAAAATCCAAATCTAGATTAATTGCCTCAAAACTAAAAAGGTGGTTCTACACAGGACAGTTGAAACTTGAATTTGCTAATAATATTGTATAATAATGACTGTGGTGGCATTCTAAAAATGCTACCTGATTTTTTTTTTTTCCCATGTATGTTTAAACATATATTTTGTTCAGGTTACTCTCAGAAAGTGGAAGGATAAATTATATCTTTGTGGGGGAGGAAGGGAGATTTCAGTTGAAAATAATGTGTGTTTCTCTTTTAATTAGGAGGGCCAAACACATGTTGGAAGAGAAGATGCTATGACAGAACAGGATATTGGTATGGAATTTGGCATTTCTTCTGTGTTCTTTCTTCAGCTGTTTTTCCTTCTTCTAACATCTGAACATGTGAACAAAGCTCCATATTTTTTTCCCTTTTTCAGTTAGTTGTCTGTATGTTCTTGCATATTCACATTTTTAGAAAATTTGGAAGCTCCGTTATGTGGGAATTGCTTCGAGGAGCATGACTTGAAGAATAGTTTGTGGACTTAAAATTTATTCATACACTTGTTACTAATTTATTGCTTGCTGTTTTTGAAATAGCATTGTGTAAAAATACCACCCTTTTTTCATATAGCACCTGTCACAATTACTGCACAATCATTCTCTTAAGCTTTGTATAGTGATAATATTGTTATACCTAAAGTAGTCTTGGTAATTTAGATTTGAGTTGAAGAAAATTCTGGAAGTTGGTAAAAAGTAGATAGGCTTCTACTGATTTGCTTATTCACTTTTTTTACAAAGCAACTAACTGCCAGACCTAGGCTGCCCAGTCACATACGTTGCTTGAAGGCAGTTTCGTTAATAAACTGCATCCTTTAATTCTCAGCTGAGAGACTGAGAGTCAAATAATTTAGTTTGGTATATTTTTGTGGCTCAAAAGATGCCTGGATTAAAATTCGTATATAAATTTCATGAAACTAGTGAACTTGATCTGTGGTATTAAACAACACAGGTAGAGATAATCATCTATTAGTTGAAGAAGAGACAGAAAGAAGCTGAGGTGGGTTCACCTTGGCTGGATGCCACATGCCCACCAAAGTTGCTCTATGGCTCCCCTTCCTGAGTTGAACAGGGGAGAGAAAATCTAATGAAAGGCTGGTTGGTTGTGATAAGGAGAGGGATATCAATCCCCAATTACCATCATGGGCAAAACAGACTTGACTTGGGGAAATTAGTTTAGTTTATTACCAATCAAATCAGAGTAGGATAATGAGAAATAAAAACTAAAACTTAAAACACCTTCCCTGCACCCCTCTTTTTTTCCCAGGCTCAACTTCACTCCTGATTTCTCTACCCCCTACCCCCGAGCGGTGCAGCGGGATGGGGAATGGGGGTTGTGGTCAGTTCATCACAGTCTCTGCTGCCTCTTCCCCCTCAGGGGGAGGGCTCCTCACACTCTTCCCCTGCTCCAGCCTGGGTTCTGTCCCATGGGAGACAGTCCTTCACGAACCACTCCAATGTGAGTTGTTCCCACGGGCTGCAGTTCTTCAAGAACTGCTCCAGCCTGGGTCCCTCCCACGGGTGCCATCCTTCAGGAACAGACAGCTCCAGCCTGGGTCCCGCGGGGTCACAAGTCCTGCCAGCAACCCTGCTCCAGCCTGGGCTCCTCTCCCCACGGGGCCACAGGTCCTGCCAGGAGCCGGCTCCAGCATGGGCTTCCCACAGGGTCACAGCCTCCTTCGGGCATACCCCTGCTCCAGCACTGGGTCCTCCCTGGGCTGCAGGTGGAGATCTGCTCCCCCGTGGAGCTCCATGGCTGCAGGGACACAGCCGGCCTCACCGTGGGCTTCCCCAGGGGCTGCCGGGGACCTTCTGCTCCGGCGCCTGGAGCCCTCCTGCCCCTCCTGCTGCTCTGAGCTGGGGGTCTGCAGGGCTGTTCCTCTCACATATTCTTCCTCCTTTCCCCGGTAGTTGCACAGTTGTTTTTCCGATTCAACCTCCCCGCCGCCACCTTATCTCAGTTATCCCAGAGGTCCTACCACCACCGCTGATGGGCTCGGCCTTGACCGGTGGCAGGTCCGTCTTGCAGCCAGCTGGCACTGGCTCTGTTGGATACAGGGGAAGCTTCTAGCAGCTTCCTACAGAATCTACCCCTGCAACCCCCACTGCTACCAAAACCATGCCACGCAAATGCAATACGGTAGCATAAGGTAGTGATAAAGGGCCTGAATATAATAGAACATAAGAACTTTATTTCAGTCATCCTTGTTAGTCTATAATCAAAGATTATATTCTGTTTTTACAGATTTAAGCATGGTTGCTTTAAAGTCAGAAAGCTTTCATTATTTCCCAGAAATTAATAAAAAAAACCATTGTCTCTACAAATATGTAAATTTTACTTTCTTGTTTGCTATCAGAAGGGAAGAAGCATTTGGTAATCTGGTGCTAAAACATAGGAGGAAAGAACATTACACCAAAAAGCTTTAAGCAACCTGATGCTCTTCTCTTTCCACTATAATAAACGGCATTGACATTTAAGGCATGCAGGCTGTGATGAAGGAAGGAAAATAACATTGTTTGGAATAAAGAGAAAAGATACTCTCAAATATGTAGTACAGTATGTCCTCAATAAATTCTTATCAGCATGCTAATCTTACTAGTTGTTAAGAAACTAATTATGTTATTTTATTTCTTTGTATTTAGTTCTTCATGGCCTTGATTTGGAAAGTGAACATTGCATCTTTGAAAATCTCAGTGGTACTGTGAATCTAATACCACTGAATGGAGCGCAGTGTTCTGTGAATGGTATCCAGATTACAGAGGCCACACACTTAAACCAAGGTATTATCTAGTGTAATGTCATTTTTGATACAGCATCTTTGTTTCTTTCTGGCAACAGCACTGAAAAAATCTGTGTATATATAAAGGGGTTATTGTTTAATTAATTTTAATTCCATGTTTTCTCAAGTACAGCCCAAAACCATCAGGAGAACCATGAGGTATTGTCAAAGAATTGCCACATGGTGAAAAGAGAATTCTTTACTAATTTAAGCCACTTGATAATCTTGAGTATGAATTGATAGTTACCCTCAGATTTCGTTCAACGTTATACATGAAGTGAACTCAATGCCAGATTGCTTAGGTTGCTGTAATACTTAGCAAAAAAATATTGGTCTCTATAGGACTAAAATAATGTCAGAGACACCCCCGCACCCCTCCCTGAGCTTCAGGCTGGTCCTGCTTAAGGCTGTGTTGCCAAATCCTCTTGTATAGCAAGAGGTTCAGCTGGAGTATCTGTTCACTGCAGCTGTAGGGAGATGTCAAAAAGGGGAAGGCTAACCCTTATGGAGGAAGTTTAGAGAATTATAACTTCAACATGAAAGCTTTAAAATCTGGAAATGAAAATGCAGCCGGGACAGCTGGGAACAAAGGTGCATTGTGTTGGCCTGGAAAGGACTGGCTAGCAAGTAAGATGGTGAGTGCTGCATCAGAGGTTCGGGATGTTTTATCTTCCAGGAGCACCCAGAATATCTTCCCGTTTAACAGTGAGGCTGTGATGCAGCTCAGCTGCTGAAAAACAATGTCACTTTACATTCCTGGAAAGAAGCTTTCAGAGGAAGCTTATTCTAACAAAGGAAGTATGCAGTGTTGAACAAGGGAAGTCTTGCATCTTTTCTGAACTCAGACAAGTTCTTCAAAAGTCTGCTTTCAGAAGGGAAGGGGTTTTGGTGTGGAGGGGGGATGTTGATTTTGTGAAGTGTCTGTTTCTTCATGCAAAATGATACATGTATGCATTTGGTTCACTTACTCACTGGGGCGGGGGGGAAAGAAAGCCCAGCTCTCTTTGTCTTATATTGTGGTAAATCCCATTGATAAATTGTTAGCAATAGAAACATTGACAATGATGGCAAATAACACTGTAAACAATAAGAATTGCAGTTGCAATGACTCAACGAGGACGAGAGGAAATGGCCTCAAGTTGCGCCAGGGGAGGTTTAGATTGGATATTAGGAAAAATTTCTTCACCGAGAGAGCGGTCAAGCATTGGAACAGGCTGCCCAGGGAGGTGGTGGAGTTGCCATCTCTGGAAGTGTTCAAGAAACATATGGATATGGTGTTTCGGCACATGGTTTGGGGGGCATGGTGGTGCTGGGTTAACGGTTGGACTTGATGATCTTGAAGGCCCTTTCCAACCTTAGTGATTCTGTGATCTTTATCCTATTGCATTTCAAAGGTAGTAAAGTTTTGTTGTGCCTTAGAAGAAAGTAGCAATTTGGATGCTATTTCCCTCTTCCAGGTGTATGTAACAACTTGATTTTTGTACTGTGAACAATGGAAACATGACTTTTTTTTTCTCCTGAATTTCTGTCTGTCTAAAGAAATTTGCAACTCAAAAGTGGAAAGGGTTGCTTTGAGTTACTAAATTTGGGGGGGGGGCGGGAAGAAGCCGCATAAGCTGACCTGTAGGCTGTGTAACCAGACTGAGTGTGACAGAAAGATGGCCACTGTGACATCAGGTGGGTAAAGCTAATGAAATAACTAGTTTAATGACTCGTGCACAATCTGTGTATTCTAGCTGTGTTAGCATTTAGTCTCACAGCATGAAGCGCCAGCCTTCTTAAATAGCTGCTTTAGGTAACGCTGATTAACTGCTGATATATTTAAATGTTTCCGTTCATCACTAATAACTGTTCATTTTAAAATGTGTTAAGTTTTTAGACTGTCGTGGAGTTTAAAAACACGAACCAAAAAGGCATATTAATTAATTACCACTTCCTTCTACAGATTACTTCCAGCATTTGTGAATTCTGACTAATGTGGCCTTTTTGTGCAAATCTAACTTACTACAGTATTTTTTTTTATTCTTGAGAACATAGGGTAGGGTTTCTAGAGGTAATGGAATTAATATTCACAATTAGAATTTGTCCTTTACCTTAAACTCACAAACAATTGTAGTGAATGGAGTTACATCTAGTTGACAGCCAGTCACAAGTGGTGTTCCCCAGGGCTCATATTTGGGCCAGTTCTGTTTAATATCTTTATCAATGATCTGGACAAGGAGATGGAGTGCACCATCAGTAAGTTTGCAGGTGAAACAAAGTTGGGCAGGAGTGTTGATCTGTTGCTCGAGGGCGGGAAGGCTCTGCAGAGGGATCTGTACAAGCTGGATCGATGGGCTGAGGCCCATTGTATGAGGTTTAACAAGGCCAAGTGCAGGGTCCTGCACTTGGGTAACAACAACCCCATGCAACGCTACAGGCTTGGGGAGGAGTGGCTGGAGAGCTGCCCGGCAGAAAAGGACCTGGGGGTGCTGGTTGACAGCTGGCTGGAGATGAGCCGGCAGTGTGTCCAAGTGGCCAAGGTAGCCAACAGCATCCTGGCCTGTATCAGAAATAGTGTGGCCAGCAGGAGTGAAGTGATTGTGCCCCTGTACTTGGCCCTGATGAAGCTGCACCTTGAATCCTGTGTTCAGTTTTGGGCCCCTCACTACAAGAAAGACACTGAAGTGCTGGAGTGCATCTAAAAAAGGGCAACAAAGCTGGTGAAGGTGTTGAAGGCATGCAAGGGGTGAAGCTGGGGGTATTGTTTAGTCTCTGTGAGCAGGTAACAAGGTGCAACCTTGAGGGAAGGAACAAGATAATCAGAAAAGAAACACAGCTACTCAACCTTGAGTGAACTTTCCTAATTAACATCTGATTATCATATAACATGCATAATAGAAACCTGCCCCTGGGCGGGGGAAGCCCCCTCCTCACAAAAGCCCATT